TCCTTGTGTAGGTAATGTTGATCACAGTCTGCTTTATTATTATACAGTCCTCTTTCCTAGTCTTATCACAGTCTCTATCTTGCTCTGTAAAATCCGTCGGCTCTCTCCCTCGTCCACCTATTTCACTCGACTCCTGCCACCACATCTGTCCTACTCGAGGCGTTATTCGTTCTCCCCTGTGTCTGGCTGACTAATTCGAGGCGCAAGCCTCTGAGTGTCATGTTCACCCTTTTGCTGCATGTACCATGCGTCTGGTACAACAGATCTACCGTCAGCCAACTAGCTCCGGTCCCCGCCGTGTCTATCCTGTTTCTATCTCTAATACCAAGTCTATGACTTGCCATGCCCTAGTCCCTTGTGTGCCAACCCACAAATGTTGTAGTACAGCTTGTTTTGATTTGGTTCACTGTTGAACCACAACATTTGTTGGTTGGCACACAAGAGACTAGAGCAGTGAAAGTAATAGGCTTGGTATTAAAGAAAGAAAGAGGATAGAAATAGTGGAAGCTAGAGCTGGTTGGCTAGTCGTGATTCAAGGATCACGTTTAAGATCAAGCACGTCTATTGTTAGCCAAACAGCTTTAGTATCCACCTCGTCTTTCTTATTTCTATCTCATAATACCATAAATATCCCTTCTTATGTCTTAGTCCCTCGAGTGCCAACCCACAAGAGGCTAGGACATGGCAAATCATAGACTTGGTATAAGGGATAGAAACAGGATAGAGACGGCGGAGACCCGAGCTAGTTGACTGACGGTAGGTCTGTTGTACCAGAGAAGTGGTACATGCAGCAAAGGGGTGGTGACCATGCGCCTCGAATTAGTCAGCCAGACGCAAGGGAGAACGAATGACGCCTCGAGTAGGACAGTTGTGGTGGCAGGATTCGAGTGAAATAGGTGAACGAGGGAGAGAGCAGACGGATTTTACGGGGCAAGAGAGAGACTGTGATAAGACTAGGAAAGAGGACTGCATAATAATAAAGCATACTCTGATCAACATTCCCTGCACAAGGATGAAGGGGGGGTGAGAACAAGAGTTGGAGTGTGAAAGTGTCATGTCGCTCAAAGGAGCACACGGCACTATATCTAAACAAACACAGTGAAAGTATGAAAGGATGATACAGGAAACGCGAATAACCCAGGGCAGAAGTGGAGATACCACAATTGTTTAGCACACGTTTGCTCAAGGGACCGGCTTCACTTGTCTCTTTGACGAGTTGTTGTGTGGTGCTAAAAATGGCGATAATTACTGACGATTCCGGTGAAACGTTTTGTAATCTACCATGTCCACTGTTCAACTTTGGAAATGATCATGCAGACAATGGACTCCGGACAAGGTGCATTTCTCTAAGTCTTCAACCAATATGACCATGTTGCGAAAACAAGGTCAAACAACCTCTATACAACGAAAGACGACTGCGACCACACAAAAGGCCACACCATTTTGGTCTTCATAGCTTCCATTAAATATCCAATATTTGTTGGCTAGTGATATACAAAAGTATGCTAGATTGCAATAAATTACATGGTGCACGTGCTGGCCATTCAGAAATTTGTAGGAAAGTTAAGGAACCACTTGTATATTTTATGGTATTTATTTTTTTTCATTTTACACATATATTAAAAAATATAATGATGTGATCATTTTTATTTTAAATTTTATTTACTTGTTAAGTACATATTGCATCAATCATGGTAGATATTTTAATTCATATAGTTGCCATTTTCGCTCACTCACATATGTGAAAATGATCTTATCAATTTATCTCATTACATAAAATGCATACTTTTAATAATAATAAAATGAGGTATTAATTCTAAGACTTACCGGAAGTGGCAAAGTTAAGAAAGACATATGAGATGTATTCACCCTGTTA